TGGCAAACGAACACGTTCCTATGTAACCGACCAGTGTAACCGTCCGATGACACGCGACGCACAACCGGTAATGACTTTCTCGCTAATTATTATCGAGGTCTTTTAAACGATCACTACCACAAAGGGAATGAACTTTCTATCACTTCCCACATCATCGTCGTCTGTACCATTGTGGTCTCACACGAAAGACACACGTTTGTCAAACAATTTCTTCGGGAGATTTTTCATCAGTTCGAAAATCTCTCTAGATATAATAAGCAAGTAATGAGGGAGAATCGTAATTAGAATCTCGAGAACGTGAAGAGCCACGTCGTTCCATGAGACATCCAAGTAGCGTAATCAATGGTACACGCTTCAGTCGCCTGAAAATGAATTAACGTCGGTATCTCCTGTGCAAATCGCATACAAAACTCCGACGATCTTCGTTCCCAGACTCCGGGGTGCGAGGCGGCAGGAAGGGAGGAAGACGGAGAAATGCCTTTCCATCTTATATGTATATGTATATATATATATATGTGTGTGTGTGTGTGTGTGTGTGTGTGTGTGTGTGTGTGTGTGTGTGTGTGTGTGTGTGTGTGTGTGTGTGTGTGTGTGTGTGTGTGTGTGTGTGTAGGTGCGTCGCGTCGCGTCGCGGCGCGTCCCACGATGCAGCAATACGGAAAAGCGCATTTCGTAATGCACGTGAGAACAATTTCGCTCGCGTTCGCCACCTGCGGGAGGGGGGAAGGGGAGGGGAGGAGTGTGAGCCTCACTCTGACTTTCTTCCTCAGGGTTACTATCGCTCCCGTACAAAGTGCATGGGACGAGGTGCGCTTCTCGCCTTTCACCATGCCGGCTCACGGTCTGCTCTGCGGCCGGCCGAGACGCGCCGGTTGCATCGATGCCAGACGACCGGGAAACGAAGCCGCGATTATCGTGCGGCCACGTACGAACTGTTCTGTAACCGACGATATAATGGTTGTATAAACGTCTGGTATGATATTCCGGAACGAGAAAGAAAAGAAATGAATCGGAGATGAGCGGTAAGAGGAACACTTTTCTCTTTCGCTTTGAAGAAAGTTATAATATAGAGAATTGTAGAAGATATCCCGCTGATACGTTCTCTCCTCTCCGACGGTTCTGTCTGGCTAATTTTAATTTGGAAACCTGCCGCGCGCAGGGGGCGCATTTTTTTCCCTCTCGTTGCGCAGGAGAGGAAGCGAGGAAGCGAGAAGAAGCTGAGAGAGTCGTTACCCGAGGCCGCACGATGGAATTACTTTGACTTTCTTCCGATACGATGTCAGCGGCAGCTGTCTTTTCGATTTTTTTGTCTTCAAGGAGATAATCGAATCGGTACTTTCACTGTGTCTCGAGAATGCGCGATTTCTGCTACCGCACGATCGGGACGAGTCTCAAGTGTGTTGTTCGATTCATTTGAAGCTCGTTAAGGCAGACAGAAGTGTAGATAGACGAGCACAAATATCATAGCGACTCCTCCGTCAAGCGTTGGGACCATCATCTCTCTGGAGTACCGGTCGGTGGGGAGTTCGAGAGAATATACATGTATATATATATATATATATAATGATATATATATATGTGTGTGTGTGTGTGTGTGTGTGTGTGTGTGTGTGTGTATATATCATTGTATTGTTGACGTGTTATTTTAAATACGTTATTTGCGATAAATATTATCACATGCCTCTGTAGTCGAAAAGATAAGATGCCTGGCCGATAAGCAGAAGATCCAGGTTCGATTTCTGGCTGAGATGGTATTTTTTTCGCAAAATAATTACGAGTTTTCACGACTGGTTCATGGTTCCGCCGTGACGCACCCCCTCCCTTCTTATTTGCGGTAGCTACTTGAGTATCCACGTCAATCCTCTTGGATAAGACTTAGAAAAGATATAAAGAAAAGAAAAATACGTAAATTACAAAGAAATCTGCGGTATGAGCGGCATTACTGGATGACAAATCGAAGATTACTTTCCGTATAATTTTGCATATCGCATACAATGTGGTATAGGAGAATTTTCAAAGCCGGCATCACGGAAGGTCCGCTTTCCTTCCGCATTTATAGCACAGTAGTAATCATCGCGAGTCATTTGCACGGTAGAGAGGACATAATATGAAGTTGTATTCATCATTACGGATGAAGTAGCAGCGGACTTAAATTAATTGAGATTTACTCTCCGGTGCTGTTAGCAGAGTAATGAATTTTCGCCGACAAAGAGGTCGACGTTCCCGGAGACCGCATTCAAGATTTCACCTCTGCCTCTGCTTAGCGACGAAGGCTTAAATCACTCCGTGCAAAAAAACGAAAAATATTATTATTACATAGGCGTTAATTCATCGTCCCGCATGTATCAAACATATATCGATACTGGGCTCACTAAATTCTCCTCTCTTACGCGACAACGATACAGCAACCACAGAGACCATTCGCTTGCGAGAAGAAAACAGAAAAAAAAAATACACTTTCCCGACCAGGAAGTCTGCCATGGGTATTCTGGCTCATTCGAAATCCATTAATGGTTTTCCTGCGGGCGATTCTGCTGGCACGTTACGCAATCGATGTATATTCGTGTCGTTACATATGAAACATTTGCGTGTTTCGCGATATCACATAGAACGTATCGGATCGTCGATTGCGTGGACTCGCGCCGGCTAGATCGGGACTTTCGGATTTTTCTGACCCGCGATCGCGATTGCCGCAATTTTTTTTCAGGCAGGGATAGATCGATGGGTAGTCCGTGACGCGACTTCGTAATTTACGCTCGCGTTCGCCATCTCGTCCGAAGCCAACAATCGTCGTGATCGCCATTATGTCAAAAGGAAAGTAACGCAGATTATTATTATCACCATTCAATCGTGATCCAATGGAGAACGCGTCTTCGGGACGATTGTCTCCCTAGGAGAGATGATTGTCTCGCTAGATTTTTTTTTCGGACGAGGCGCACGCCTGTACGGTATTCGCGAACATTTCTGATCATAATGATGGAGGAAGAGAGGCTCTTCCGGCGATTCCGCCGCCGAGACGTCGGCGCGGCGTCTCGCGCGCTCAGCCGTGCGTGCGTTATGGGATTTAGCTTGACCAGGAAGCTTAATCTAGAAAGACAGATAGAGATACAGATAGACAGAGATATTTTTTTTACAAGACGTGACAAGGCTTTCGTGCCGCGGGGAGCTCCGCCTCCTCGTTCTCGAGGCGCGAAAAGCAAACACGTCCGACAGGCCGCGGCGGGCAAACGTATTTCTGGCCAAGATTTTAATGGCTTGTTTATGCGCGCAGTCGGATACAGATTGGATCGGATATACGTGTATCTTTGCGAAAACGCACGCCTTCTGGCACGCCGAAAACGAGCCGCGCGAAGATATAGCGCCAGATTGCGATCGGAGCCTGGGGCACGAAACGACACCGCCGTCAATAGCGGCGGTATTAATTAGCGTTATCTGCCGTTAATTTGCATAATAGAAGCTACGAGCGTTTCCCGTAACGATCCGTCGATTCACGTCGACATTGAGGACCGCGCGTTTCTTCCCGCGGCGATCGCTGATCGAGCCGCTTCTCGTTATCGTCTGCCCCCGATCGTCTCTCTCTCCTTTTCTCTTATGCATGCACTCATCCTGCTGTCGACTATTATTTCCGTTATCTCTCTATTACCTGGACTCGGTCGTACGGAACATTCACGAGTTGATGAATCTGCCTAATTGCTCAGACACCGCTTGTCGATGTTTAATTAGGTCGTTAACGAGCCAATTTTATTGCGGCAAAAGACCCACTTGAGAGAGAGAGAGAGAGAGAGCGAGAGAGAAGAGAGAGAGAGAGAGAGGAAAAAGAGAAGCTCTCCGACTCGATACATTCGCGTTGGATCGATTCCTGATTAGATCCTTTCTTAGCGGCCGAATAAGAAAAAATCGCGTACGCGTATCGATTTCATCCGCACGTTTTATTTTTGCGCCGTACTACGTAACGTTAAACCATGCGAACGATCGTCCTGAATAAACAGATGGCCTGCGCAAGGCGCGATGCTATACCCGCGCGTTCCCGATTTCAGCAGAATCGAGAGAGTCGATACGACGCTCTTTTCATGCCCCATCGACGATTTCCGGAGAGTAAAGCAATAGATCGAAAAACCTGTCGAGAATATCTAGCATAGACCAGGGAGCGCGTGTGCGTTTTGCGGCGGCGCGCGCGTGGCGTGAATGTCAATTACAATGGCTTTTGGCATTCACGCGTATTTACATGTGCAAAAAACGCGCGAGCGAATCGCGCCAAAAAATCCCTCCAGGAAATTTTATAACGAGAGATTTAACCGCGAGAGATTCAGACACGCGTTGTAAAGTCGCCTCGATAACTTTTCACCTAATCTCCTCTTCTCGCCTTTTTTCTCCTCTTTGCGGTGATGCAACGCTTAATAGCTCTGTACCATCGCGAGCTTTCTTCTCGGGCGCGACGTGATGCGACGGTTCCAGAATCGTCCGAAGAAGCAGGAATCATTCATTCCCCCAATGTTCCTTCCGTATGTCGTTAAAATTCAAGCATGGAAAGTCAATTAAAGTCGTATTAAGACTGATTGCAAATGGCAATTTAATTAAACACGCGACAGAATCGCACAATGTCTCCCATTCCGCGTTCTTTCTTCCGTCGCACGTGTCTTCCTTTCTTTGTAATCTTTTTTCCTTTTTTTCCTTCCTTTTTTTCTCGTTTTCTTTTTTGTAGGCATATTTTCGGTATTGACGTCGATTCTTCGAGAAGTATCGGTATGTTATGATCGAAAGTATCGTGAGATTTCGAGGAAGTAACGATCGATTTGTCATGTCGTGATTGGAGCTCGGAAATGTACACAATAATTATCCGCATACCCCTGCGAGCGGGATATATAAGCGCACGAAATTCGCGAGCGGATTCGCTTTCGTCAGTCTTCGTCAGCCTAGCTATCCGTATCGAGAATCGAAAAATCGAATAAAGCGACCAGTAACAGTGATAGTTTACGTAAGAGTAAAATTATATAGTAATAATATATGATAATATATAATATAGAGTAATAATAATTAGTAATAAACGATAAAATATCAATCACGCCTATACCTTGTGAATTCACCTCCTCGGACAATATAAAAATCGAAAAGATAGACATATACACCTACCTATACTTTTCCTACATTTTATTTTATTTTTAAACGCTATGTATGTACATACGACCGAATGCTTGAACGATGACGGCGCTACTTTCTCCTTCGTAACTATTTCCCGCGACCGATGTGTACATGTGGAATGTCAAATCCTCCTATCGGTTCTGAATAGGCGAATTGCACGTTAGTTTTTACTAAAAATGGTTTCGAAGTTAATATTCGTACGTAATGTGTAAAATTTTATAATAATATTCTCAGAATATTACCAAAGCATCCGGTCGGCATATTTTTTGTCTTTCGTCTGTCACTCGGCAATTACTTTGTACAAGATATGAAACGGCAAAAAATGTTGTCTTATATTTTTCTTATATAAAAGAAGAACTTTCTATAAAACTATATAATATGTAATATAAAGAAATCAATTGCATTTCATTATCTCCAAAGATCAAATTTATAATAAAAGAAATAGATTGTCTGGATTGTCTTTATTCAAGTATTAATTGAAGATATCAAACAAAACATTGAAAGTAAGACAATTTACTGATGGAGTGCAACTGATATAAATTGTATGATTGCTGATTATCACGTGTATCTAATCTGTGTCTATATATATATTTGCGATAGATAAAAGACAACAAAGTCATATATAATAGGAATGTCACAACAATTAATTTCTAAAAGGTTTCACATTGCAAAAGAGAAGATGATACGGAGTCTACTCGCTTACACTTTCGCCGCGTTGTGCTTTGTTTCCGGTTGCATCGGTAAGATAAAACAATCATTAATCATAAAGTTTGCTATCATAATTATATCCACTATCAATTATATCAACTATCAAATATGCAATAATGCTGCAATATAAATATTTAAATAAACAAATATTATATCAACGAGAGATTTCGTAATAATCGAAATTTTATTCTTGAAAGTGGATTTATTAGAAACATTTGAATACGAATATGAATACACGTTTTAAATCTCATTTTCAGTCTCATTTTCACTCATTACACATTCTATAGAATTTTTGACAGTCATCAAAAATTTACAAATAATATTGACGTATAAATTTTACAAATAATATTGACATATATCCTAAATAAAAATAATAAAAATGTTACCTTTGTTAATTCAAAAATTAGTCCCAAAATATTCAAAAATTATAAATAATTACGCTTTTTTTATATATTTTTACAATCTTTTATAAGCAAAAATCTAGCGATATAAAATTAGTGATTGTTAAAAATGAAAAATAATCATGATTTGGATCAATACTGATATTAGATTTGCATTGATAAGAGTGATTAGCATCGAAATAAAATATTAGATAAAATCATGTATTTTCCCAGTTTGAACGTATCATTTTGATAAAATATTTTTGAGATATGTTTATGTAACATTTCTTTCTCACTTCCACTCGCGATTGTAGAAGACTCGGCTAAAATTTTAGAATACACTGTATTTTTTTTCGCTGTGAGTTTGTCAAATTTTGTAATTAGTAAATGAAATGAAATAATTAGCAAATAAATAACAAAATGCTTAACCGCTGCATTCCTAACTTTTACTACAGTGATGTAGAGTGCACAGGGGAAGTTTATTCTGCGATTTCTTTTAAGACTTTGCAAATTTGTCTAGGCCTTCGCTCAGCAAACACACATCATTTCAGCTACTCGTCTTTGCGTCGCCGACTTTCGAACATTGTTAATAGCTGAGACGCTTCTTGAAACTTACTTAAGACTAATGTGATTTTCTATATAATATAATGCAAATATTACACCATCCATTTAAATTGTAAAAAAAAAGAATACTTTTAAATTTGTGTACGTTTTGGCTTACTCATACATATTATTGAATATCCTTTAATTTTTGAATCTTTTTCTGACATCCTGAAAGAAAGTGAAAATAGGAGAGTCATTCTATAATATAAAAACAGAAGAAACTGTAAATTAAGAAATATTTAAAACTTAATATTATAATAATTGAAAATGTTCCCAATAATAGGAAGAAAAGGATTCGGTCCTGGAGAACAAGAATGGGGCTACGTCCAAGTGCGCTCCAACGCGAATATGTTCTGGTGGCTTTATTATACTACGGCAAACGTTAACTCATATTACGACAGACCATTAATCATTTGGTTACAAGGTGGACCAGGCGCATCTTCGACGAGTTATGGGAATTTTAAAGAATTAGGGCCTCTCGATGTAAATCTAAATCCGAGGAATTACACTTGGGTAATAAGCTATGCAAAATTAGATTATATTTTATTGGAATCGAGATGGTATCATGCATGATTTATAAATATCTAATTGTCGATATAACTTGTTTGTCAGTCTACTTATTAGTGACACAATTGAGAAAACAGAAAAATGAATGATTTATTTATAGGTCAAGAATTATAATGTTCTCTTCATCGATAATCCAGTTGGTACTGGCTTCAGTTACGCTGAAACTAAATCAGCATTCTCGACAACGAATGAACAGATCGCGAAGGATCTTGTAGAATGTATGCGAGGATTCTACAAGGAATTACCGGAATTCGAGGATGTCCCGACGTATATCACGACCGAATCGTACGGCGGAAAAATGGGCGCAGAGTTTGCGCTAATCTGGGATCAAGTAAGAATTACATACATGTTAATTAAAAAATGTTAATTAAAAAAAAAAGAAAAATTGATAAGAAAATATTTTATGGTGGAAAGCAAAGTCATAATATTCTTGAATAGTCGTAAATTAAAAATAATAACATTCATATCGTAATGATAATAGCATCGTAATGGTTTATTAAATATGATGAAATAACTCGTGTTTCCATTAAAAGATTGCAAATGAAAATTCACGTACCTAACGTAGTGTGAATGTTCTGCAGGTTCAAAAATCTGGCAGTATCAAGAGTAATCTAAAGGGAGTCGCACTCGGAGATGCTTGGGTCTCTCCTATTGACTCTGTAATCACATGGGCACCGTTTCTACTCAGCACGGTAACTGATGATGATTATTTATTTTCAGTAATAAATGATTATTTATTACTGAAAAGAAAGAGAAAAGTACATGCAACATGATTCTTAAGCCTCTTTCTCCCTCACCTTTCGCCTCGATTTCATCGCTGAATAATTTTATACGAGACATTCTCAGTCTTACTTACACGAAGTATTTTTATAAAATTCTTTAGAAAACTATTTTATATTTCAGGGTATGGTCGACACCAAAGGCTTCAAAGAAATCGATGCTGCGGCACGAAAAACGAAAGATAATGTCGAAAGTGGCAGATGGGTAGAAGCTACTTCATCATGGTCTAACACCCAGGGTGTTGTTTTAAGGGAGACTTATAATGTTGACTTCTACAATATTCTTACAAAAAGAAGTCCGGGCAATCAATTTATTCAGGACGTATCGTTTTTATTTAGAGGTAAACAAATAAATAATATTAAATAATAATATTATTATTAATTTAAAATCAAACAACAAAAATTTTTATATTAGATGTTAAAATAAAAATGCAGAAAATTCTTAAAATGTTACAATATTGCTATTAGCAGGGTATAATTATTATTACGGGTATCATTATTGCTGGTTTTTTTTCGTATAATTACAGGTGTCGAGTATCCACCTCTCGACCAATCTGAGGCTTTTTCACTCGAAAGTTTGATGAATGGTCCGGTAAGGAAAGCGCTTGGTCTTAAAGCCACTCACGGCATCCAATCCAATGAAGTTTTCGCGTACTTGAGCGAAGATTTTATGAAGCCAGTTATTCATATAGGTATCGATTAAATCGAAAGACGCGACGAAAATAAAAAACAGAAATTGATATAAATTAATAAAAAATTGATTGTTATTGTTACCAAGTAAAACAAACTATTGCGACACATGATACATGACTTCTGACATGGGTTTGCTCTGTTCTCAAAATAAATTTTTTTGTCATATAAAAAATTACTATTCCACGAAATAATTGCAGCTATTTTATATTATAATTGGTAATAATTATTATATTTAATTTAAATATTAAATGTAAATATCACATTTTTTAGTGGAACGACTACTTAATGAAACCAACTTGAACGTATTCGTTATTACTGGACATTTGGATTTGATTGTTGATACACCGGGTAAGTTGCTATTAATTTGTTTTCTGACGTATTGTATTGTTAAACTATTTTATATTCTTTATATTTTAAAAATATTTTTTAATATTATTTTACAACTTACATTACTATAAATATTAATTAAAGAAGTTTATTCCAAAATTTATGATTATGATTTAAAAATGAAAATGTCACAATGTTTTGATTGTCACTAACATTTTAAAAATAAAATTACTCGATAACTTTAAATATTTTGTCAAGAAAGTTGTTGGATTCTTTTTATTTATACTTAATATTTTAACACTCTATATTAAAAATTATTTAAATGACATTAAATCGAATCTTCATCTTTTCGATTATATTGAAAACAGAATACTCTGCATACTTAGTTCACATTACATATCACTTACACGGTTTCTTCTCACGCTGTTCTCTACTGTATAAATCCTTATCATATATCATATATTTCAGGCACCCTTCTTTGGGTCGAAAAACTGAAATGGAAAGACGCCGACACCTGGAAAAACTCAGTTAGGCGTCCGCTCGTCGCTGAAGACATCGTCGAGGGCTATTTCAAGGCTCAAGATAACTTCAGGATGTATTGGGTCAACAGAGCCGGACATATGGTACGCACATACAAGGCACTTCTCTCTTCCCCTTTAGCTTTCGTATTTATTATAACATAGCCTCAAGCGATAGCTCCAGGGATTAATTCGCAACAAGGAGAATATCCTAAATCAGTGCGCATCATGCGATCTTATATCCGTCAATTTGTTATGCTATCCAATTTGTTCGCCCCAGTAACTTATGTAAGAAGATTCGTCACGATAACAGGTGTTTTTATATCTGTCATAATTATAAAAAATTAAACGTGATTATTTATTGTGGTATTAATTATCGCGCAAAATTCGCGAAACTCTCTCCCACATTGTACGAACACATAGTTAAAAAATTATAATTGTAAAATACTTAGTCCTATTGTTAAAATTAATATTAATTTTTTATTTATGTTTACATTTTTCTTGACTGTATGTATATCTTAATGTACTTTAACTATTTGTTTAAAAAAATGATGCAGGTACCAAAGGACAATCCGGCAGCTCAGGAAATAATATTGCGGCACTTGACAAGCAACGCAAAGTGAGTGAACAGAAGTGAAACCTGACTTTTTTATTTTATTATACTCGAATACTTTATTTTATACTGTATGACTTAAATCATTCTATTTAATATTCTCTATAAATTTTAAGAATATTATAATCATTATATATATATATATATATATATATATATATATATATACTATATATATATATATATATATATATATCATCATATATATATATCATCATATATATATATCATCATATATATATATCATCATGTTTGTATATCGTCATCTATTCTGAAACGATTTCGATCGCATTATCATAATCATATGTTGAATTAAAAATATCTATATTATCTATATCTATATTTTGCATTTTAATATAGTCATTCGTTCCTATCTGATTTATTGACATTTATATTACTTGTCGCTTGTAAACGGATTATTAAAAAAAAGGAATATTCAGGAAAGATAGGAATAGACTGTAGGCGTTTAATTAATATGGATTGAAAAATCAGATTTGTGAGAAGCGATTCTCAGCCTATTTCAGGATAATTTTTATCTTTTTTTTTTGGTCTTTAACACTCTGTGTACGCGCCTTTGCAAGGGAGGACCGGCTGAAAGGAAGAAACCGTTCCGAGAAACGTTCGGCCTCGATATAATTATCGCAACACTGTTTATATATCGGCGCAGTTACTGCCGGCGTGGGTGTTGAAACAGCATATGTGTAAACAGCAATAAAACACGTAGTGCGGTCCCGGATAGGTAATCTCCTCCCCACGAGAGCGTAAACGGGAGTTCCCTGGAAAACCACCGATGGGCGGGGTTGAGCCAACCTCTAGATCTTCCCGTGTCAAATTAAACAATCCTCTTCATTAGGGCGACTGGATGCGGCGGAGTCCCGACGAAGTCCGTGCCCCGATCTCCTCAGGGTGCCCCTACGCCCTCACCCTCGACGATCATCACCAGTGCGATCCGCGACTCCGCTCCGCGCGACATCGAAGGAACACTCGGTGAACGGTGCCGGTTTTTATCTTTTGCCGAATTATTATCGGCGAGAGAGGGAGCGACGGTGAGAATGTGATGTTACTTTAATTTCGCTGCTTGGATTACGTGCATTATTGAAGAACGCAAAGAAACGATAATCACAGACGTTGTGTATGAAGTCGTAGAAACACGGGAAGAAAGGCGGAAACTTTGTGAAAATATTCTGAAGACAATCGCCTCTCGCTCTGGATGTTCGAGAGGGATTCCCGATGCAGCCGAGCGGTTGTTCCCAGGTGTTCCTCGCGAAGGATCAAGCGTGTGATCTACGCCGATGTCAAGAGTACTGGTACGTACTCCCGACCGACAAGACGTTCCCCGTGAAACGCGCCTGTGGACTCACGAGCCTGGTCCCGGGGATGCTGCGCGCCGACGTCGCCTGGCCAACCCTGTGCCAAGCGTCCTTCGCGTCCTGGCCGATCCTGGCGAGACCGCCGGTCGGCTACAAGATCGCGCCGCATCACGAGAAGCCGCCGTATTCCTACATCGCCCTGATCGCGATGGCCATCAACTCGTCGCCGAAGCGGCGGCTGACCCTCGCCGGGATTTACAAGTTCATCATGGACAGATTCCCGTACTATCGGGAGAACCGGCAGGGTTGGCAGAACAGCATACGGCACAACCTCAGCCTGAACGATTGCTTCGTGAAGGTGCCGCGGGACCGGACGTGCGCGGACGACGGTGAGGATCACACGGCCGGGAAGGGCAGCTATTGGACCCTGGACCCGTCCGCCAGCGAGATGTTCGAGCACGGCAATTACAGGCGCAGAAGAACAAGACGGCGGCGGATGCTCGC